AGATCCGCGTCGCTGCAGCTGACCAGCCGAAGACCACGTTCCGATTGCGCTTCAGCCACTACGAGTTTACGGTGATGCCATTCGGCCTCACCAACGCACCCGCTACCTTCCAGAGGGCGATGAACGACATCTTAAGGGACATCCTGGAGCAGTACGTTCTCGTCTGCCTCGACGATATCTTGGTCTTTAGTCGTACCCTTGAGGAGCACCTCAGACACCTCCGCGACGTCCTTGACCGCTTGCGCAGACATGGCTTCTACRCCAAGCTGAGCAAGTGCCGCTTTGCCTAGCACAAAATGGATTTCTTAGGATACTACGTGTCTGATCAGGGTCTCCACATGGACGATGCGAAGATCACTGCTATTGCGAAGTGGCCCGCCCCCACATCCGCCAAGCAGCTTCACAGCTTCCTAGGCCTGACCAGCTATTATAGTAATTTCATCCGGGGATACGCTAGGTATTCCTACGTCCTTACCTCCACCCTCCTCCGGAAGAACCCACCCTGGGCTTGGACACCCCTCCACGAGGACGCCTTCCGCGCCCTCAAGAAGGCGGTGAGATGCGCACCGGTTCTTCACCTACCCGATTTTGATCGCCCTTTTATCCTTACCACTGATGCATCAGACTCTGCTGTAGGAGCAGTGCTTTCTCAGGTCTTCCCCTCCTGTCCTGATTCCTCTCATCCTCGTATCCCTCGCTTCCCACCACCTACCCCTACCACTGCTTCCCGACTAACGCCTACTCGTCCAGCTACGGACGAGCCTTCTATTGGCTATTCTCCTACCATCGCCGAGGACGGCACTGTCAAGTCTCGCTCAGGTGATTGTCCGATAGCCTTCTACTCCCGTTAGCTCCTCCCCGCCGAGATAAACTACACTGCTGATGAATGTGAGGTTCTCGCAGTAGTTTATGTCGCTCGGCACTGGCGCCACTACTTGCACGGGGCACCGTTCACGGTGCGTACGGACAACTCTGTTGTCCAGGATTTTCTTACAAAACCGAAGCTCACTCCTCGACGGGCTCGCTGGTGGCGCGACCTATCCGAGTTTAGTTTCACCACGGATCACATCAAGGGGGAGACTAATCGGGTCGCAGATGCCCTATCCCGGCGCCCTGACCACGAGCAGGAGCAGATCCAGCTCTCTTCCATCCCGGTCACCACCGTCCACCACTCGGTGATCGACGAGTTTCGCACTCAGTACCGCCACTGCCACGACTATCGCGACATCCACGCGACCCTTCGGAGTGGCAAAACTGTCCCGAACTACTCTCTCGGGGACAACGGCCTTGTGTACTGGCACGGTTCACAGGGCACCAGAGAGCCCCGTATTTGCGTTCCCTCCACTAAACAGCTACGTGTCCGAGCAGTAGCAGAGTTCCATGACCAGGCAGTTGTCGGTCATATGAGCTTCCACAAGACGTTGGCTCGTGTGAGCCGCCTGTACGTCTGGCCGAAGCGCAAGGACTTTGTGAAGGACTACGTCGCAGAGTGTCCCACCTGTTAGGAGGTGAACAGTGCGAACCACCTGCCTTATGGTTTGTTCCAGCCTCTTCCTATCCCTGAGGGTCGTTGGCAGTCCATCTCGATGGACTTTATCGGTCCTCTTCATCCTCCAACCCCTCGCGGTCATGATGCTATTCTGGTCGTCGTCGACCGCTTCACGAAGCGTGCACGCTTTGTTCCGTGCCGCTATGCCATCAGTGCACGTGAGGTCGTTGACATCGTGTTTGACCGAGTAGTGCGTGACCACGGCTTACCTCTGAGCATCATATCTGACCGTGACCCGCGCTTTACATGCCGATTCTGGCGACGACTCCACGAGGTATACAGAACTCAGCTCCACTTCTCCTCGTCTTACCATCCTCAGACAGATGGTTAGACCGAGATCACGAACAAGACTCTCGGAGATATTCTTCGAAAGATTGTTCGTGACGACCAGCAGTGGGATCTTCATCTTGCCCACGCGGAGATAGCCTACAACCACGCCGTCTCGCCAGCCACAGGGATGTTGCCTTACTATTGCGACCTTGGCTATCACCCTCGTGTTTCCGCGGACTTCCTTCGACCGTCCCAGCTGCACCCCGACACGAGTTGTCCCGCACTGGACGATTGGGTTGCACACATGACGTCGATCATGAAGACCGCACATGAGCACATAGCCGCTTCCAAGACTCGCATGGCAGCACGTGCGAACCGATCGAGGATGGATCATCCATTCAAAGTCGGTGATAATGTGCTTATCGGCGCCCGCCACTTACAGCTCGAAGCGGACACGCTTCGCAAGTTTCGGCGTCGCTTCTTTGGCCCATGCTGCATCCTCCAGGCCGTCGGTTCTGATACGGCATCTAGCCCAGTCAGCTTCCATGTGAAGCTGCCCGACTACCTACGTCAGGCTCGTGTGCACGATGTCTACCACGTCTCGTTACTGTGTCCTTACCGCAGACCGTCTGAGCGTTTCGCTGGACGACCATACGAGTGCCCTCCACCCATCATGGTGGACGGTCACGAGGAGTTCCTCATTTCAGACATAATTGGTCGCCGAGTCACCGACGACAACCCTCCCCACATCGAGTATCTCGTACGTTGGAAGGGTTACCCTGATGAGGAGGCTACCTGGGAGCCCCTCGAGCACTTGCAGCACACTTGTATGTTGGTGCGTGCCTATGACCGTGCTCGTCGTGCTGGGTTCATTGCTCCTCCTCAGCCCACTGACCCTCCTCCTTCTCCTCCGGCTGAGGAGACCGCTGAAGTCGAGCCTGCTCCATCTGAGGCAGACCTTCAGCAGCGGCCGGATGCTTCTGAGCATCCACAGCGCACTCGTCGTCGTCCTGCTCGATACGACGATTGACTCTGACTTACCTCCCCATGTCTTTGACTTCTCAGTACTCCATCAACATCAGTTTTGCTACTTCAGCTCGTCGACGCTGCGGCTCTTCCTCGACGACATTCCAGACTTCTCATCGTGGACGTCATCGGTAGCTTCATGGACTCATCACGATCAGCTCTGCCTACTTCACACGTCGCCACTCTCCTACCACTCTACCCTGTACAGTACCCTGCTTGT